GAATAGAACTATGGATACCTTAACTGTGACAGATACTATCTGTGAGCATTCCAGGCTCACTAGCAGCAAATAACCTTTTCTTTCTAAAGCTTTTCTTTCTGTCATTTATCTCGATGGACTCTCAAAAGGAGTACAAGGGGGAATTCTGTCACTAGCCAAAGCAAAATTTTCCTTGAAACAGCCTCAGCTGAACAATAAGGCCTCAATTCAGGGAAATTCATTTGATCAGGACAGCTACTTCTGAGAGAAAAAAAATATCTATCATTACCTGCAACTTTCACCCAGAAGAGAAAAGCCTGACAAAAGACAACACCAGGAAGGGAAAGCCAAATTCCCCTTAGAATATGGTACAGATTTAGTAGGGAGAGAAACCACCATTCAAACAAACTACTGAGGGCAAAAGTGATTTTCCAGCTCCTGAGGTCTTCAAATCAAGACCAGATCCCTCTGAAGGGTAAATTACACCACTCCTCTTAGGAGGAACCAGCTGTAGCTCCTGAAACTGTACCACAGCTCACAGGGGATGACTCTTGCCTTGAGCGAGCGCTGCCTTGCAGACAGAGCCAGCAATTGCGGGGCTGGAGCGTGGAGTGCCTGGTGTGTGTCCCTGACCCTGGCAGGCTCAGGAGAGCCTTCCAAAGACAGACCTGCCAGGGAGCAGCAGCCACAACTCACAGCTCAGCAGCTGAGCCTCACTTTGCCTCCCACCACCTTCATTGCCCCTGGCTCTAGCGAGCCACACCCACCAGTCAAGCACGACCGGCATTCACCCATCAAGAACCAAAAAATTTGGAAGGAGGGGAAAGCCTGCAGAAATCTGCACTTGAACTGCTGCTGTCTCTCCCTCACCCGAATCCTCTCTTTGCCTGAGGTAGGGCTGACTCACCCAGAGCAAGCTCTGCAGTTGGCACAATCCCCACCGCCTGCACCACAGGTTTCCTGCCATCCCAGAGAGATGGGGCTTTCACACGCCTGCACCATCTCTGTGTGAGCAAAAAACAAGGGGGTCTTGGCAGGGAAGCCAGAGCCACCTCTTTCCATCCTTGCTTCTGTGAACTTTCCCAAAGGTTTCAAGGGTGGCCTGCATTTGCGGTTCCCTGTTGGCTTCGTCACACTGCCTGCTCCCCGAGTCTCAGGCTGCCAGTGTCTCTCCCCTGGATGACTTGGCTTGTGTTATTTTGTGTTAAAACCACTATGTTTTTTTAATGGCTATAAATAAGTTAAAACTGCATCTTTAATTAATCACTGCACTTTATACTATAAGTGGAGAGTTTTTGTAATGATTCGTTTATAATTTTAAGATGCCATTTGCTCACTGTCAAATGTATCCAGCTTTTATCCCTCTATGTTTAACAGGTTCAGGATAGAAACAAAATTTCATCAATGAGTAATTTTTATCTATTTAGTCTAGAGCAAATAATTGGTTATTAAGGAAGTGGAAAGATTGAGGGATACTTTACCTAAGCAACAATGAACTTGAGACACCAGTTAGTATGTTCATCATCTTAAAACATTTTAAACTAATCTTAACATGTTTATTTTTCACTGACACAGGTTTGAAACTGGAAATACATATGTCTAGATGACTAAAACATGAAAAACAAATAGGAGCAGCAGCATGTAAAGTATAGAGAAGTAGAAGCATTAATAGAAATATTTCTGCTATAGCAGCAATTGAATGATTTTTTATTTTTTTATGGTTTGGAAGAAGAACCCATATGTTTATAGGATTTTTTCCCCCCAATTAAAATATGTGTGTATGAGTGTGTCTTTCTCTAAGTATTATTTAGCTACACACACACAGGGCTCATCTATAAAATTCTCTACCAGTGAAGTGAGAGCTGCTTCTCCTTTGGTTTCTTGTCCTACTTGCAGGCAGAAAGGACACCCAATCCAACACCATCAGCACCTTCACAGCACCTGCAGGTGCAGTTTTCAACGCCAGTTTATGCCCTCTGTCACCTCCCGTGCCCATGAAGGCCGGTGGAGCCCCAGCCTTGGGCCATCGACCAGCAAAAGACTGCCCAGAGCTCCGAGCACAGGCAGCAGAGCCAGGCACCAGATCTGCATATGCACTCCTGTGGGAAGGGCTCAGGTATCCCAGGACCCCTCAGAGGTGAGTGCAGGGACAGCAGCTGTGCATCCCAGTGAGCAGCACTCCACAGGTGCTGTTGTGCACAGCCTCAGGTGCCCAGACATTCCCCAAGACACAGAAAGATGCTTGGTTTTATTTGGTCTCAGATTAAATATAAGTGGCATGCAGGTGGCTGGGAACCCGAACATGAGCTTATTCCTTCACCTCCCTTTATTTTTTTTCTCAAGAGAGCACACAGATATTTTATATAAGAAATAAATAAGCCATAAAAAAGGGAAGAACTGTTGTATTGGAACTAGAGAAAAAATAATAAATGCTTTCAAAAATTGCTCTACCTCAATTCCTAGACAAGTTTGATGTGCAGTATATGATTTGTATGCTAGGATTGAATCCAGGCACTTACCACTTTGTTAGCTTAAGAATTTTGAGCAATTTTTTCCATTTATCTGTATTCTCCCCAAAAACATTTCACACATTTCTCAGATACATCAATCCTTCCGGCATTCCTCTACACACTCAGTAGGATGCCCCGCTATAAATATAATAAAGCCTTTTATTATGTCCATTAACCATGGACATGTGTGCTCCAAAAGTTTCCTGACACGCAGTCATTTGTGGCTTTTTAATTATAAACAGAAAAAAAAATCTACCAGCAAAAGAAGACAGCAGACTGGAAGTGGATGTTTATGTGTGTGTTTTGAGTATATTCCCTGACAGGCTGAAGGCACCCCCACTCTCCTTCCATCCCCACCAGCAACAGCCTGTGCAGGCACCTACGTGTGCACAGAAAGCCAAGGACACAACAGGTTAGTCCTGGTGACACACATTCGTCACCTGTGCCAGCTCCAGGGGACTGAGGAAGGTTTTCAGGACCCAGTAACACCGATCAAACCTTTTTTCAAGAGGCAAATATGCCCCCTCCATCTTGCAGACCTTGTTCCAGCTGAACTCAGGAGAAAAGAAAAAAGGCCCAGTAAATTACTTGACAAATTAAGTCATATTTATTGAATGCGTTTTATTTCAACAACCAAAAAATTCTAACAGCCTAACAATGCACATAAGTTAAAAATTAATTATCACTTAGTGATAACGAAGATAAAGTTGATTTACATGGAAAAATGAACATTTACAATATGTTAATCCTTATTCACATTGTTGATACCGCAATAAAACACAATTTCTTTTTTTTATTTTTTATTTCACAAAAAAGGCGGAAAATTGTGCTTTGTTAAGAGGCACTACAAGAAAAGTTTCTTTCTCCAAATAGATATTATATGATGGATATTGAATAAATAGACATATATGCATTGTAATTCGCAAAGTTCTGGCAAGACCACAGGCTAAAATGCCCACAGATTCACTTAGAACCACTGCAAAATTGGCAGTGAAATTAAAAATAAAAAGGCAAGACTCAGCATTGAAAAAATACCTAATAAAATTTTTGGTTGAAGTGTAAAAGATACCAAATGTTGATGCCATCATCAGATGAACAACTTACACAGCTTGGCAAAATTCAGTTTCCTTTCAAATGTATGGAGTGATTTTAGCTACAGGATAAGAAGACAGTTTTGAAAGCGTAGCTCTGAGAGAAACATAAAGCAGCAACCATCGAAATTCTGATTAAAGCTGCAGCATACTACAGAACTAAAGGATGAAGAGCAAAAGGGGCATTAAGTAAGCAACCCACCATAATTTTGCAAAGGTATATGAAATTTATGCAGAGATACTCATGTTTCAAACATTAGCTCTGAAAAAATCTCATAAAAACTCCAGAGGTTACTGAGCAGCTAGAATTAGCTTGTATTGCAACGTCTTCTCCCTGTATATTGTCTGTTCTGAGTAAATATCTACACGTAGAGGTTTGTCTTTTGTTTTTAACTCCTACCTTTTATACCTTTCAAATATATAAATAGTATTAACAGTTATATTACATTGCCTGGTGTAGTAAACAGAAAGTAACTTTCAAAGTGATATTGCATGAGGTCTTTGTCAAGATTACATGAAAAGCCCATGTGAAAAAAAGGAAGAAAAAAGCCAGAAGCCTTGTTGGTTATGGCTGCAGTTTACAGGCGTCTGAAATCGATCCAGCTGCAAGGTGAGGTCTTTGTCTCGGAAAGCATTGCACGGAAGTGAAAAGTAAATGCTACTTGGCGTCTCTCTCGACAGGGTGCCTCAGAGCGGGTGGATGCTATGGCAGACTGCAGCTTTGTGCTCAGGCCATCCAAGAGTCAGTCGGGCTCGGCTCGGCTCTGTGTACCGTGTGCTGCGGAGCGCCGGGGCCCGCAGGGAGCGGGGCTGCGGCTGCGAGCGCTGCGCTGGCACGGACCGCGGGACACGGGGAAACCACAACGGGAACACGGGGAGGCTGCGAGGAGGGCGAGCGGGGAGTCGGCAACGCAAACCCTCGGGCTGTCAGCAATCTACCTGGACGGGATTCTCGGGATTGTGGCATTTTGTGTCGCAATGTAACTTTACACGTGTGAGTGTGTGGGTGTGTTTGTGTGTGGGTGTGTGTTTCACTTCAGTATAAGGAAAAAACAACAACAAGAAGGAAAGCTTATAAATTTTAAGATCTGAAACAGAGAACAGGTAAATAAAATCCACGGTAAAATGTGGTTGGTAGTATGAATTCCATATATCAAATCTCAACACGTTTATCTTTCTTCTCTTTCTATAAAGACCTTGTTAATGGAAAAGTCTTCTATGCACTGCATTTCAGTTTTAGTCATTCTGAATCCCATGAAAAATCATCTGTTCACTACGGAAAGGACTATCTGGAATGGAACATGCTGTATCCTTTTAAGTGTGCACTGTGTTCAAAGTACTTTTAACTTAACTTACTTGTTTTCTCTTTAAGGTGCCCTGATTTCTTTTTCCGTTTCCTCTCTTTTTCTCCTCTTTTTTTGGCAGTGTTGATTTACGTCTTTAAATACCTCAAAAATTACCCATCAAGTTGCCAGATAGGAAGCCATATAATAATGAAAAAAAAAAAAAAATCAGGGATAAACATAGAAAATAAATAGGAATTCAAAAATAGTCACCACACCCTGAGAGCAGGCGGCAGTTTATCAAAAAGCCAAAGCAACTCATTGTGAAGTGGTTTTAATACATAAACAAGTCTCATCTTTAAAGAACTCATTTCACAGTCTATACTTTCAGGTTGTAAAGTTCCGTCCCATGCAATTTAATATATATATTTTATGTAAATATATATATACACACACAAAGTTGTAAATTTCCCTTCACTGATTTCATAGGACTTTTTCTTCCCATTTACTTGCTAGCTGTCCCTTTCATAAGTGCAAGATTGATGAAGGCATAATCCTATGTGACTACAACGATTGCTTCAGTCAGATGTAGGAAGTGTAACACTCGAATGTCTGTGTCAAGGTGATGTCTGATTGGGCAATGCTGAATTCATTCGGTTTGCACATGGATCATGCGCAACAAACAAACAAAAAGTAAAATGAGGAAAAAAAAAATCAAAAATAAAAACCAGAAAATCCTTGGATCAATGTATTGCTTTCTGCACTCCTATCTCACATTATCTCTGGTCGATGTCTGCTGGAGCCACCTTGCTTTTGTCGGGATTCTCCTCCTCAGCCTCTACTTTGTACATTTCCTCAGAGCCTTCCTCACTGTCGTTCTCCTCCGACTCCGTCAGCAGCTCCTCATCCTTGTACTCTGCCACATCAACCACTGTTCCTAAGTGCTCTTTTAGCTTCCCGTGGTGCTTTACGTGGTAACGCTGGTTCTGGAAGAATTTGATGATGGTGTGTTTGGGGAGATCCAGCTGAGCAGAGAGGGTGTGGATGGCTTCCTGATCAGGGTAGAGACCCACGTCGTGAATAAAGCTTTGAAGGATACCTAGAGCTTCCAGTGAGATCTTGGTACGGGATCTTGGCTTTTTGGCACAACTGTCCTCAGCAGGTGGAGGAGGAGCCTCTTCTCTGGGTGGGGAATTCTCCTTGGCAGGCTGGGACTGCTGTCTGTGCAGCACCTATAAGATCAAACAGACACACACTTCACATGCTGACCCCCTCAGTGCTTGATGTAAGGGCACTTGTACAGGTCTGTACACAGGACCTACTTTGTTTTGGTCAAGAAAAACACAACTAATAGGCATTTTTCCAGTGCCCTTCTCACCTGTAAGACAGCTATACCTGTCTGTACAACTAAAGACTGAAAGGAGGAAGTGATATAAAAGGAAAACAATATAACATAAATGTAAAGCCACAAAATAAGTAAGAAATACAAAATGTAAGTAACAAAAAGAAATATAAAATAGCCAAAATAAGAATTAAGTCAAAAGGTATTATAGTCTCATTGTCATGATGACTGGCCAGTCATCCCATCTCAGAAAAGTCCCATCTCCTGCTTTGCTCCTCCTCTCCCCATCCTTATTTCCTCTCATCTTTTCAGGCTAGACACTTTGACCATTTCTTCAAGACTTCAAGTACCACCAAAGGGCTAGGCACATGTGGGACTGTCAGGTGCTACTTTATGAATAATGATTTTGCATTACAATCCATCACAGCTACTTTATAGAAGTGTAAGAAAAAAAGAAGTAGAAGTGCAGAGATTTGTTAGGATTTCCCTTCTCTCAAGAGAGACAGCATAGTCAATGCTGTTGCTTCACATAGGTGGCTTTAATGTGTCTCCTGAACAGATTTCTCTGTATTACATCTGTAGTAATTTCACTAGTTGAGGAGCTCTGAGTTCAAATAATTATAGCCCTCCATTCTGAGACACCCTCTGGGCAAACACACTTTGCAGTCTTGTAACAGATTTTCACCCACAGTACCTCCTTTTTGGCAAGTTTAAAGAAAGCATATGTAGCTCTTAATCTTCCTAACAGCCACTTAAAATGACTAAGAAAGGGCCTCGTGTAGCCCTTATTCCAGGGGAAAAAATACCTGCTCTGAATTGTTCAAAACACAGAGGAGCTCCATATGCTTTCTTTAAAACCAAATCTATACAAGAGAGATTAACAGAAAAAATCCCCTACAGGACTGAGCTGTATTTGCCCAGAGGTTTCTTCAGATGCAGGGAAATAATTATTAGAGCTTGACACTCAAAGCTAACAAAATCAATATGGATAACTATTTTCTCCCACAAGTAAGAGGGAATTCTGGCTCTTTAACCAGGAAGAAAATGTCTTTGTTGCAAACAGTAAGGTCCAGAGACTCAACCCTACATTAAAGCTAACAAAAAAAAAACCAAAAACACAAAGATATATAATGGAAATCTGCTGAGAACTTTCACTGAATTTCACACGCATACCGAGCCCCCAGTAAAATGCTACACTAGTCAAGTTATTACCGCAAGAGGGAAGTCCGCTGTGGAATATCAGCCTGTTAGGCAAATAAATGAAAAGGCTCTGTGCCGAAGAGCCCTTTATTCATTTCCTTCCTCAAACGTTCCTGCCATAACAGTTTGTAACATCAGCGATCTCCAGTCGCAGCTTTTGGGAAGCGGGTCGCAGTCCCCGGGCACTGCCCATGGCAGCGTGGCCGAGGAGCCGAGCCTGCCGGGGATGCTGTGACAGGCCAGGTCCCTGCTCCCCGGGGGCTGCAGCTCCCCGGGCACACAGGCAGGAGCCGGCACCACGTCCCGGAGCAGTGGGGCTGAGCGAGGGCTGGCAGTGCAGGGACACAGCTGCGCATCCTGCTGCTGGCAGCGCTGCCCGCTGTCCCCACGGGCACAGCCGTGCCAGGACAGCGGCAGGAACAGCCCAGCAAGGAGCAGCTCTGCACGGACAGCCGAGAGCAGGTGCCAGCACAGGACTCGCCACCCTGCGGGCGAGAGCTGAGGCTGGGCAGAAGCGCCACAAACTTGTTTCGCTGCCAATATGTACGTTTTCGTCCAAAGCACAGAAACACTCAGGGTGCCATAGAAAGGGCTAACCAAGGAGCGGGGGGAAAGGGGGAGCTCAAATGGAAATGACAGATACTCTGGTTTATGTTTTATTACATCTCTTGCAATAAAAGAGCATAATGTTCCAATGAATGGAATCGCTCAGCTGCTCTTTGAGGAGTTCTTTTTTGTCCATGGATTGCTTTCAAAGAGAAGGGCTGACGTTTCCAAATAGAGGGTTACAGATGAGGGTGGGATCCATACCTACGTCAGCAGGGAGCACTGAAAGCAGCAGAGCCCAGGATTGCAGGCTCCCAAGCCCCATAAATTTGTCACACAGACCCTACCTAATCTCCTCTGTTGTGGCTTCTGGTCCTGTCCCCTGACAAAGTAAGGCCCAGAGCAGCCAAAATCAAAAGGATTTAACACCACAAATAAACTGCCAGGGAACTTACAGACAGCGTCACACAAAAGCTGCAAGTAGCATTGCTAATCAGAAGCTGGATTCAAGTAGCATCTAACAGAGATAGAAACACATCCAGAAAGGGTGCGAATTACTCAGTTCATTCTTGTTGGCGTTGGAAAGGGGCTTTTTTTTCCCTTTTCAGTTGACAAATAGCATGAGAAATGATCCAGCTTGAAAAATGTTACAAGACTTCCAATCAAATATAATGATGAAAAAAAAATCCAACAGTACGGGATTCAGCAGCAGTAAAATGTTTAATTTGAAGGAGATGAAGAGATGCCTACAGCATCTATAAAGCAATCAACCAAAGAGAAGGCTGAGTGCGGGAGGGAAGAATAATTTCAATTAACCCTTCCTTTTCCAGAGTGACCTCTCCACCTTCTCCAGAAGAGAAAATGCAAAACCTGGGGATTATCAGTGTAAAATGCTAGAAAAATGTTGTATTTTATTTTATCTCCTGTTATCCTAGGTAATGAAAAAAACCCAAAAACTAAACCTGCTCTTCTAACAGACCAATCTCATTGTTTCATTAACTTCTGGGGGTTTTCTCTGGATTGCCAGTGAGATTAAAAAAGGATTTCAGCCACACTGTATTTTTCAGCAACAGAACTTTAGCCATATAGAGAGAGATGGATAAATCCACAGAATGTCCTTCAGATCTGGGCTGTGGTCAGTTTTGCAATTCCTTCTGACAAGGCAGGCTATTTAGCACAAAAGAGAACATTTTTCTATGCAAACCAGATCAAATGCTGAGCATATGGTACAATATGAAATCTAAATTACCTTTATGTTAAATATTTGCTTTAAACTACACTTGATTGACGAGCATGCTGGCCAATTTGAGTGATTGGCTTACTTCATGTCTGGCTCTGCATGCTACAGCCTCAGAGGAAATGGACCATTATTGGAGTTCCAGATTTTCAGATCTTGGGTCATTATTAGGCTCCCACATCTCCAGGTAAAATTTCCAGCAGCTTCACACACTGCTGTGCACACCCTGCCATATCACTTTGGGTTTTGGGTCAGTGCTGCTCTGCCTCTGCACTGCCAAGAAGGAAACATCACCGATCTTCCATGTACAGGGTGCATTTCCCAGCACAGGTGAACCCTCCGTGATGGCTGGACCTACCACAAAGCACCATGTACATGATGGGCTTCTGAGATAAGGGATAACAACAATGGCCATGCTCAGCTCTCCTTTCCCCAGGAAAGCTGGTGCTGGGCTCAGAAGGGTGCACTTTGTGGCACAGATGCCCCACGCCCCCCTTCCCACTCCCGTTTCCGTCCCCCATGCCCTTCCCCACTGCTCCTCAGCCACAGGTGGGGCAGCCTCCTCCTTCTCCTCCACAAGCCAGCACCATCTGGAGTTGACTTCCCTTCCTTTTCCTGACTTCCTATCTACTTTCAAATCAAATGTGAAGATACAGATTTCCTTCCATGCCCAGAGGACTTATTCATTTCATTCCTTCAAGAGACTTAATTTTTCAACTCTATAGGCATGGCTGCCTTTCAACATTTGAGAGCAGAGCATCTCTGGAAGATGCTGCTTCATGAAGGTTCATTCAGGTAGACTTTCTCCTCACAGACAAACTTAGCTTTTTGAAACAAATTCACCAGCCTTGGTAGAACGCTTGTAAGAAAATGACTGTGATGGAAGTTGACTTTAAATGATAAAGTGACTGGTCTTAGATCTCACTGTACTGAAATATGATTTGAAGGCCGCAATGAAAAGCAGCTGGAAGCCATGTGTAAAATATAATAGTACATGCCTACAGGGAAGGAAGTGAGATATTGAATGATTAAATTTAGGAGAGTATATAATATACTGTATCATTACAGGGGTGATCAGGATTATTTGTAATAAGCTAAGGGTTTGTGGTCCATCTAAAATCCAAAGAATTATTGGGGGAAGGGACTGTTGCACTGTTTTACACACATCCACTCCCCATGTCTCCCATGTGCTCCCAACAGAAGAAACCTGACTTTGGCATTCCCACAGAAAAGAGGTGAGCAAACTCAAACTGAAAGATGAACGTCATGTAACTGCAGTCTGTGCCTGTACTTTATTTAATTTTGGCTGGATTCACTATGCCACTGATGTTTGTTTCCATTTCCACCCACTTTCTAGCTAGAGCTACACACGTGACGGTGAGTGGCTGAGGGAGCCAAGCAGGATGCTCGAGCAGGAACACACACACACCCGGACACCACCAGCCGTGAGGCACCAGCTGACAGCACTGGCTCAGTGACAGGTCACCCTCCATTGCCTGGACAGCCTCTGCAGCACGCTGGAATCAGGAACCGCATTTCTATGTGAAAACTCCAAGCTCTTTTGTTTCCTAGTGTGGTTCTGCCCTTCCTTTTGCAGAGAGGATTGGTCATGTGAGCCCCCTTCCGCTGGGATTTGCTGAGATGATGAGGTGCCCCTTGCCAAGAGAAGCACCAAAAATGTTACATTCTTGAAAGACTGTGCATTTGCAACAGAGACTGCCCTTGCTGAACAGACACCACCTGCCTCTGTGCGCAGACAGTGTGAGCACTGACAGGTACCTTGACGGCATGTGGTAGTCAGCAGCAATTTTGATAACCTGAACCCACAAGGAGCAAAGTTGAATGGACTGGCCTTCTCTTTGCCAGAGGAGGTTTAGATTGGGTATTAGTGAGAGGGTTGTAGAGAG